GCTGGTCACTTAATAGCTTGATCTCAAAGGCTCAATACTGCCATGCAGGTAAAGGGGACCACTACCCACCAGGGTCATTCGACCAACCTCTTCTCTGGGTTCTCCAAACCTCCTCCTGCCAGTAATAGCTGCAGCCTCCTGCGCTGACTCCTGTGTTGAGTTTCTCAGACTACGCCATTGCAGCAGAAAAAGGGAATTTTATTTTTCTGCATAACCTATGCCTGAGTCAATCTCAGAGCTCCCCAGTATTGCTCACTCAGCATCAGGAGAGGAGCAAGAGGTGAGCATTTATTCTGTGAGATCCTGGAAGGGAGGAGAATATGGTGAATACCTGAAGCAGGCTAAGAGGTATTGGCTTCAGGCATAGGGAAGAGAGGAAGCATTTTGATTCCTAATGAATGCCTGTGTCTTCTTCCTTCTTCATTCAGATTAGGCTTACAATTTAGGATCTCCCACATCACAATAAATATTCCCAGTCCCAGTGGCAAAGGACAAACTATAATTGTGAGCTACTGAGGACTTCCAGTCCTGCATGCATGAGAATTTCTCTTTCACGTACCTACAATTTTCAAGTTGTCAATGTGGTTTAGGAGCATGCATGGACGAGTATATCACAGTAACTTGTGGGATGCAACAAGGCACTTTTGGGAAATCTTTTTTTATTGCAAATGTGATGCTGAGAGCTGACAATTGACATTGACTTCAGTCAACTTGGAAACGTAGACCTATTGATCTTAAGTCTTCAGTTAGGTATCATGAGAAGATAATAGCTTTGTAGAACAGGTCCCTTGTAAATTAAATTACCATTAAAATAATGTGAGAGATTAATTTTGAATGCTGACTTTAAATACACTCTTTACCGGAAAAAAAATCAAGCTCTTATTAAAAATGCCCTTTTAAAAATTCATTTGTATTAATGAATAGTTGCAAGCTTAGAATTTAGAAGTTAAATACTATTTGATCCCATCTAAATTAACAGCTCCTTCATTTCCCCCAGAAGCTCCGTTTCAACGTTTTCATTTATAAGGCACTATTTACTTAAGGAATTGTAACAAGAAAAATATTTTCTTGCAGCATCAGGACTCCCTCTAGTGTCATTCCAGCCAGAATCTGGGGATATGTGTGAACCACTGAAAGTCTGTGTTTGCTTTTGACGAGATAACAGGAGGATACGTCCACAACTATTTTGTATCTGTGATATTAAGAAACTTTGGTCCACTACTCTGCACCTCCACTCAGGAAATCCAACTTGAGTATTTGCCATCTGACACAGTGCAGTCAGTGTTCAATTCTTCCCATTAGATTTTTCCAGGCATGTCTGCTAAGTGTTTGTTACTTACCCAAAACTGCAATTTCAGCAAAATTTAGCCAAATTCAAAGAAATAGGATAGAATTGTTTCAAAACATGTTGAGACCTTTGGTGGGGGATTTTTGCTTGTTTGTTTCTGGTTTTGTATTTTTCTCCCCTAACTGTCTGAAAGCCTATGGGAACCCCAAGGAAACCTGCAGCTGCATTTGCAGAGAGTATTGTTAGTTGAAAATTAAATAGAAACTAATCTTTAAAGTGGTTTATAGTACCACATGAAAATCTTGTCTTCTCAGTGGAACCTTTTTCCAATCAAACCAAATAAAAAGAAACTGTTAAACTGATAGCCTCTCAGATGCAAGCAAGCAGATCCATCATTAGTAGGAAAGAATCTGTCAATTAATTTCATGATTTTTCACATTTGCACAGAACTATTCAGCACTGAGATCAACTACTGGATATGCAGCTGGCAGACAGGAACCATTCAATGACTGCAATTTTTTGTAGGGAACAAATCCTTCTGTGCTTTCAAGACGTATTAAATCCTTGAATAGTATATGCCAAAGATTTTAAAAAGGGAAAAACATTAAAACCCCCCAAATCACTGATACAAGGGAAACGCAAAAACAAAAAACCGAAGTAGATCGATGGTGCTTATCAAGGACAAAGTATGGCTTAACAGGAATAGTATTTATCCAAATCTTTAACATATTTCTTTAGAAACTTATGTTCCACTAAAGCAAGCAGGATCCATGGTTTGAAAATCTTAAATGACTTAAGAAAATGTGCTTTGAAGTTATAGCCTTGTAGGCATTTCTCAAGATGTGGCATTTCTTTTTTCAGAAGTCTCAATATTTTTTTAAACGTTCATGAAGATTTCTGGGTCACGGCACCACAGAACAGTTGAGGTGGGAAGGTACCTCTGGAGCCTGTCCAGACCAACCCCTCTGTTCAAAGTAGGGCCGTTGGCAGCTGGTTGCTCAGGGCTGTGCCCTCTCAAGTTTTGAGTATGAACAAAGATGGAGACCCTGCCTGAGCAGCCTGTTCTAGTGCTTTATCTCAAATGTGAGGAATACTTTTTGTATTTAAATGCAATTTCATTTATTTCAGTTTGGGCTTAATTGTGCTTGTTCTTTCCCTGGACACCTGTAACAAGTCCTACTCCCTCTTTTTCACATGCTCCCATCATTTGTTCATAGACATTATAGATATTAATAGAATCATTGATTAAATTCCCTTGAACCTCCTCTTCTCTGGGCTGAACAATCCCAGCTCTGTTTGTTCCTTCTCTGGCCTCAGAGTCAATTGCCTTTCTTTGGACAAAAGGCAATTCTGAAATGAGCATACATTAAAAAAAAAGATTATTGTGTTTAAGGAAAATAATAGTTCAGTGATTACTGCCATTACTCTCTAAAGACTGATTACATTTTTGTGACTGTACTGGTAGCTATAATGTGAAATAGATTACCCAAAATAACTGCATCGTATTCCCAAATTTCATCCTATACCATGAATCACGAGGTATTTTAAAAAATATGGCTGGTTCTTTTTCACAAAGTTTTGGTAGCTCAGTATCCAGTGTGATACCTCAAGTGACATTTCTTAATTCTTTTCCTTTCTCTGAACTCAGACCTCCAGTGGTGATCTGGTCCAGCACAGATGTGTCCCCTGCTTGCATAGAGTCCTCCTGCATGTGCCTCACCAGGTGTGCATGTGATACCAGGGCCCTCGTACTCCCTGTCTCTGTGTCTTTGTGTTTAGACCAAAACCCCTCTCATGTATGGGATACTCCTTTACCTACCTTGCGCCCCTCATTCAAGCACATTGCTGCAGTATTTTTTGACTACTACTTCTCAATGCTCACAGTGCAAGTGATGCTGTCCCTTCTGAGGTATAATTCAAGGACTTTCCCTGCAAACTTCTCTGCACAGAGTAGGAATATGTTAAGCGAGACCTGTGTAACTCACGAATGATGCAAAGGCAAAACTTCTCCCAGGCTTCCCTGCTGCAGCACAGAAGTTTGTTGAGGCACATCTGGAGATCTGATTTTCCAGTATCAGTCATGCTATAAATTGTTATCCCACATTAAATCCTCCTTTTGACCTTCTTGTTGACATCTTAAATAGAAGACTTTTTGCAATACCTTCTTCAGGTTTTCACAAGTCTTCTTTGAGTGCCAGTCTGAAGTGAATGAAATTTATTAGGCCTCTGCCTTTGAGATCTTTAATAAAGTTTTTAAGTGATATTTAGGGGAAGATCCCTTCCCATGATTTCCATCTGGGCGCAGATTCCCCTTGCTGTCACATACATTATTCTAAAAATGTAAAGATAGCAAAGTCTGCCAAAATTGTAAGGAAAATCTAGACTAAATGATGATTGCAAACCTCAAAGGAAGAGACGAACCAGACAGCTGACCCAGAAAACATATTCACGCCATCACCATTTTTCTTCTTTTTTTTTCAGTTTTGGTATCTCTGCTTGCTTAGTGTCAGATTTCAGGGCACAGATTCCAGTCCTATTTGTAAGGGAGCAACAAGTTAAAAAAATAACGGACCTGTTGAGACACATTGCAATGCACCCTGCCAGTTGACAAAATCGCAGAAAATTTTATGACTGCAAGGCAGTTCCTGGAACGGATGATTTATGTAAATCAAGGCATGTCTGCATATTTGAATTAAGTGAGGAAAAGGCTTATAAATGACTGGTGCAAATGTGCTCTTTGAAAACATTTTCTAAGCTGACGCTTTGTCCCTTTAAGCACAGGACACCAGTGAGGAGGTGTGAACTGCATACTTTTTCTAATTTAGAACCTGTTATAATGAGACCTTACCATTATAACTAGCTTGGAGGACGCTTTAGCCAGCTGGGGTTCAGCCTCTTCTCCCAGGAAACAGGGCAAGAGAACATGGTTTTAAGCTGTGCCAGGGAACGTTCAGGATCGACATTAGGAGGAATTTCTTTACAGAGAGGGAGATTAGACATAGGAATGGGGTTCCCAGGGAGATGAAATCAACTTCTCTGAAGGTTTTTAAGGAACGGATGGATATGGCCCGGTAGAGTTGAAATGGCAGTGTTCGGTCATAGGTTGGACTCAGTTTTAGAGGTCTTTTCCAGTCTAATTGGTTCTGCGATCATCTTAAATTTCTGAAACTATTGTTTGGTCTACCTGTAACACGTTTCTTCCCAGTGTGATGTGTTTCTTTATGGACAGCATGCAAACACTCTGAGGGACGGAGATACTCCAGCCAGGAGAGGGGAAGGTTTGGAGTACCTCAGAGTACTCCCACTGCGACAGGCAGGCCACGGAGACAAAGAGTATGCAGTGGGTAAACAACTGACAACAGCTGTAACCCACACGGGGGTAGGTCGCACCCGAAGCACACCTCACCGCACACCCCACAAGTGCGCTCGGGGCCCTGAAAGGCCGTATCCCGTCCCAAGGCCAGGCCCTCGTGGCGGGGGCGGGCCGGCGCAGGGGCTGCGCTGTGAGGAGGGCGGGAAAGACGGGAGGAGGGCGGAGGCCGTCCCGGGACGGCGGGCGGGGAGCACGGGCTGGGGCGGTGACACTCCTCCTCAGGGAGTTCCTCAGGGCTGCGGCGCGGCCCCACCGCCGCCCACGCCGGGGGGGGGCGCGGCCGGGCCGCGGCTCCAGCATGGCCCGAGCGCCTCCCGCGCTGCTGCGGCCGGCGCTGCTGCTCCTGCTGCTGCTGCTGGCCTCCGGCCGGCCCGCTCTCGCAGGTAGGGCCGTGCCGGGGCCGGAAGGCACCTGCGCCCGCGGGGGAACGGGCGGCCCGGCCGCAGCCCCGGTGCTGGGGCTGCTTGGAGCGCTGCAGCGACTTGTCGCGGTGTTCCCACGAAAGCAGCAGCCCGACGGGGAGTGCCCCTGCGGGCCTCGCAGGGAGCGGGGCCGGGCGGGCGGCCGCACAGGTGGTGGGACAGCGGGCATTTTGTGGAGGCGTGGTGTCCTCTTGCCTTTGAGTGAAGGCCGAGCTGTCCGCTCGGGTGTGAGCCCGCCTTATGCCTGCTTCCACTCCTACTGCCGAGGCGCTGGGACTTGACATAGCTGGACTTAATAGTGAAAACGCGGATGCTTTACAAGCAACGTAGATGTAAACCTTTTCCCTTCACCTCTTATCATAACTGTAGCATGTCATGAGGAAAAATGCCGAGGCATAAACAAGAATATTCCCTGCAATTCCTTCTCCTGCTCTGGCGTGTGTGAGCTAGTAGTCCCCATGAGAAGTATCAGCCAGAAACTGCAGGTATCTGGGTTTTAGCTACAGCTTCAGCTGTCTTGTGCCTGGCTTTTCAAGACGTGCCAGTCACCTCACCAGTAGTGATGCACATTAAGTTGTGCGTCTTGGGCAGTCATCAAAACCATTAAACAGGCAAAAACTTGAGCTGCAAATTCTGTTTCTTCTTGAGATGTAGCTTGAAGTACATTGAAATTTGAGCTTAAAAGAATAGTAATGAAGTTTGTTATTTAAGTATATTTTAAAAACTGTTGGGTCAGCGTGCAGTCCCTCACTGCAATCCCAAGGGAGACAAACCAGTCTCTAATGTTGTTTAGAAATGTCGGGTGGTCAGTTTCTGTGGTTGGGTGGCATCTGTATCACTAGCTGAGAAGACTGATTAGAATTGAACTATAGTTAATTGTACCCTTAAAAAGTAGTTTTTACTCCAGAAGTTTGTGAGGAGATTGGTGAAAGGACTAAGTTCAGATAGTGTAAATGAAATATACCAATCTTTTCTCTCCATGAGAGAATTTCAGTGCGTGGAGGTCTAAGTGATATTTTTGTCAGTTCTGTGGGTGAAGACCCTACAGCCAGAGTAGATGGAGGAATTTTTTTATTCCTTATAAAGATGTCTCAGACATATCAGGGATTGTCAGAAGATATGAGTGCCACTGAAATGGCAGTCTCTAGTGATAGTAGCATTGTCTTAAAGACATGACAAAGGGTTTTGTGGATATTACTGCTAGTGGTCTTAGGTCAACCAGTGCTTTATGGCTTGCTGTTAGTGTCCTCTGTCCCTGGCACTGCAGGCAGTGCCAGGCAAAGCCAGACAATACATTTCTAAACCACCTGTCAGGGACACAAGTCTGCTGCTTCTAGGTGCTGTGATGCTCTGCTTGAGCTGCCTTTAAGCTGAGATTTGCTAGGCCATGTGGACTGACATCACGACCAGGCGGGCTTGTTAAACTCCAGCTCTCTTCATTTACTCCGAGTGCTATTACAGCTGTAACCTCACCCAGAGGTAATCTAGCAAAAGGGAAGAAAACAGTAGAAGGCTGGGAAGGAAAAAGCACCCATGAGCTTCTTATAGGCAATGCACTGAAATTAGGTTTTAAGTGGCTTTCTCAGCTCTTCAGTTTTCAGTGAGTTTCTGTGATAGAACTGGAAAATAACATCAGCCCTGTTCATTTCACGTTCAGTGCTTTAACTACGGGATTGTATTTCATCTGGAAGTCATAGAATGCTTTGGTTTGGAAGGGACCTTTAAACTTTGTTTCTGGTGTGTAGATGTAACATGGGGATATTCTTCATTGTGTACATTTTAGGTGAGTGTAAGAGGCTTGCACACTCTGGTAGTGTTTGATTTACCCTCAAAATCTCACCAAATTATGTGCTGAGAAGGTGTGAGTCAACCCCAAGAATTCGCTTTTGAATAATTGTTATATTGTGCCTTAAAGGGCATTCCCAATGAATCTGGCAGCTTCCTTTTAACACTTCCATTTTTCCTGTGTCTCTTATGTTCTGTTGATATAATCTACCAGCTTAGATAAGCTGACAGAAATGGAGAAATATTTCCTCATTATGAAATGTCTTGTTTTGATTCTTTGGAGGTTTTTTCCACCCCTCTCATTCTGCTGCATTACTTTTGTTATTTGTCCTTGTAGGAAAGCTTCATTAAGCCAACTCCTGTTTATGAAATACCACCTCCGTGTTTTGGAGAGCGTAAGATTTATAAGCAAACCATATTATGTATTCTGTGGTAGTGGTGATGTTTTTCAGTCTCAACTGTTGAATTTGATCTTATCTGTGATGCAGCAAGTAATGTGTCAAAAAACCCGTATATTAAAAATATGGTTCTGTCTAGCTGTAAAAGAAATCATGCCAAGGCACTGTAGGTGGTCCAAAATCTTGTTTACCAGTGGATCAGTGCCTACCTGCCCCACCTTCAGTGACGGATTCTGACTCTGAAGAATTTTATGGAAGGCAGAAGGTTTAACTTAGGTTTCTTTTTCTTTTTTTTCCCAGAAAATTCATATATACTATAAATCAAACTGTTGCCCAGTGGTACTCTGCAAAATATTGACTTTACAGCTTCATTCTAGTTATTCTAAATGCACTGAGTAACCGATAATCTCTCTGCTTAATTTCTTCCACCAAAATACAATGTATGAATTTAGCACAGTATAAAAAAAATTATTTAACCTATCTCCTGTCTTATTAGTTGGTCCTTAATTATGGATTTGCTTGTAGTTATGTTATTCCAATACTTGCTTTAAAGAGGAGGTCTTTATTTACCCCACAGAATAACATTTTTATGTACAACAAAGGGAACAGGTCCTCTTGGTGTATAAATTTAAGGTAAAAACTGCAAGGTGTATTGAGCTATTTGATGAAAACTTCTTTTGGACTAGAAGCAAACTGGTGGGGAAGAATTCCTTTTTGTTCCACTTGGGATCAATTTTTCGGGGCACAGTGGTGATTCTTCCTTTGGAAGAAATATGTGTATTTCAGTAATGTAAAGATCTTTCCTGTGTTTCTCTGGATACTTAATATAGCTCAATATTGCATAGTTGTTGGCTGTGGGGTTTGCTGAAATCTTGTTCTTGGGAAAGCTACGTAGAATTCTTATATATCCTATAGCAAATTTTTAGATACTATTACTGATTGTTATTTCATGAAAGAGCAGCTGAATGAGGTCTTTGATTTGTTACTCTGCACAGAATCCAGTTCAGAGTCAGAGTTAAAGCCACACTTTTTAAGAGTTGTTGGAGTGTATTAGATTAAGCAAGGGGACAGCTGATGTAGGAACTGGAACATTTAAACCTCAAAAGTCCTCTGCAGTAATGCCTGATTTTAAAATGAGAAAATTATTTCAGAATGAAGCTCAAAACTGCAAAATAAATACTTAACTGGTGGTGTTCTTACAAGCTGTATCCAAACACAGCTGAAAGCATCATAAACTTTGGCAGATGGAATTTGAAAATGTCTGGGACATGTCTGGGAAAAAAAAAAAGGTCAAGGATCAGCTTAAAGGAATCAAAGCTTTTCCTAAATCCTCCTTAAGTACATCAAGAAAAAAAAACCCTGCAGAGGGTCTCTGCAGCCTTTTGATGAAGTTACTAGTATAAAAGAAGCACTCAGAAAGGGCGTGGCTACTGCAGAGAAGCTAAACTAAATGGTGTTTAGTGCTAATTGGGAAGATTCCCAAACTGAAATTCCTTTTTTTGGCGTGGTGGCAGGAGAGGAGAGGGGCTGACCTAAAAAAACTTGGCAATGAAATAACTTGCTTGCTAAGGGTAATATCTGATCTCATGCTTAAACTCCCTGGTACCTGAAGCCTGGATGGTGGCAGATTTTATGCCAATATTTAAAACAAGAATTACTGGGGGACTGTAAGCCTGACATCCATAACTTAAATTTGTAGGTACTGTAGCAATAAAAGATGCACAAGTGACAAGGATCAATTTTGGAGGAGTCTGTAAGATTTCTTTAAAGAGTTCTTTCCAAACCCCTTGGAGTTTTCTTGATGGGGGTGGGCAAGGTGACTAAGATTTAGAGTTTCAAAAGATTTTTAAGAAGTTTGCTGCCAAAGGCTTTTTAGTATTCATTGGAGTGCAGGGCTTTGTTTATTAAGTAATTGTTTCAATGGGAGGAGTGGTAGATGACTGATTAATATTTTTTATGTGTCAGAGGGAAGTTACCGGCAGAATTTTGGAGGATTTGGTCTTAAGATCTGTGCTGTTCAAAATAGTAATAATGGGGATGGTAAAAACAATGAGCAGTTACACTTACTGGTGCTACTGTTTCTCAGAGCAGAAAAGAGGGGAGGGGACAATGAAGGAGGCTTGTACAGATCTGAGTGACTGGCCAACAGGATGGCAGGAATGCTTGGAGATTGCATACAGGAAATAATATTCCAGGCAGTTGTGCCTGGAATAGAGGGTTATAAACATCTGAAAATGACACAGGTGGCAGGAGACTTGTGGGTCGTCTCTGCAGAGATGGCATAGATTGTCTGTGATGGAGATGCAGGAAGCATGTTGCAGATGAAAATGTTTCCAAGGAGAAACTAGAGAAACACTTCAGAGAGAAATTCTATGTCAGTAACAAAAAGTAGACTGGGTGTGACAAGCTCAGGAAAATACCTGAAACAAACAAAAATGAAGGAGTATTTGAAAGAAATTATTCAGCATAATTGAATGGTTCTTACCTTTCCCGGTCATCACTGTTGGAGATAAGAAAACTGGACTGTATTCATCCTTTGTCCATTCTGGTATGGCTATTGGGCTCTTATTAAATTGCTTGGACTGGTGAATTTGATATCTGAGATTTATTTTCATTTGTATGTAAATAAGTATATAAAAATAATAAAAATTGCTTACGTATATTTAGGTATGAATAAGAAAAAGAAATTTTTGTTTGTGTGAGATTCAATTTCCTATTTATTTTTCTTTATTTTTTTCAGTATCATTTTATGGTGATAGCTTTGTGGAGCTGAACATGGCAGAAGCATCCCCTCAGACATCCTTACAGCTGCAGTTTCGAACAAGCAAGCCACAGGGACTGCTTTTTCTTGCAGCTGGAAAGACTGATTATTGTTTAATGGAGCTGCGCTCAGGATATGTACAAGTATGCTTTATAGCTGTAGCTAAAAAATACATGTAGCCTGTATTGCTCAGAGTTTTTCTTAAGGCTGTTGTCTATACAAGATCTCTAAGCAAGTTTCTGTTTAAATAAATGGAAAAGTCACTTATGTAATTGATAATTTCAAAGTATGGCTTTTATTTCTTGCAATTATATTGCTGTAGCCTTTGAGATCTCTCGATCTTAAAATCAGGATCATTGTGTTGAAAGCATGAGATTCGGTAAAGGCAGAATTTCAGATTTGATGATGTTAGCATTACATAAAGTGCTTGAATCTGAGTACTTGTTTTTCTGCAAGTTAAGTTCTTGAAAGATCACTTTCATTTGGGCTCTCAGGAGTTGTTGTTCCTAGCAGAACTGTAGAGGAGTCCATTCCTACTTCTGTAGTTGTTCAAATGCTTGTGGTGGCAAGTAAACCTACACTGAATTTTAGTAGGATTTTATTTTTTTCAAATATATTTTGTAAATTATATGCCTAGTATGAAAATATATGAAAATTAGTGTATTAACTATATAATAATGTATGCTTGTGAAAAATATCATTTTGTATTTTGATAGTTAAAATTCTATCTCTTGCAGTTGAGAATTAACTTTGATATGGAAGAGCGAGTACTGCATTCTCAGCAGAGATCTCAGCTGAATGATTTGGCTTGGCACCTGGTTGAGCTACATCATGAACAAGATAATGTCACACTGGTAATTGATAAGCGTGATAGAACTAGTGCAAAAATGCCTGGAACTCTTTATGAATTAAACATTGATTATGGATTCTACATAGGTGGTACTGGTAAACTTGATGTTCCCTACCTTGCTGGAGCACTACCCAGTTTCCGAGGATGTATTGATGGTGTGTCATTCAATCAGTTAGACATTCTGATGCCTCTGAGACCTTCTCCTGGCTTCAAAAACATCCATGAAGTTTCAGTGGGGTGCAGTGATGAATTCTTTGCAGGTGAAGAAGAGCCCATTACTTTCTTCAGTTCCAGGTCCTATATTTCTTTCCCATCATGGAATGTGGATGAGGAGGGAATCTTTGAGTGTACTTTACAAACCTCAGCTGCACATGGCTTACTGCTCTACCACCCTGGGCAAGCGGGAGATTTCATTGCAATGGAAATAGAAGATGGTTTAATTAAAGCTTACATTGGAAAACATAAAAGTAGAACCCATCTTTGTTCTCGTAGGTCAGTCAATGATAGTCATTGGCACTATATCAAACTGAAATTTACTGTAGAATATTTGCAGCTAACACTAGATGAAGAAACTGTGAAAAAGTCACTACCTCCCCAGAGTAAGCTGCCACTTCTGACGGGATCCTTCTTTGTAGGTGGCATAGATGACAGCATACGATCAGAAGCTATTAAGTTAATCTCAGTATCTGGGAAGTATGCCAGAGGAAGATCCTTCAAAGGCTGCTTAAGAAACCTAAAAGCCAATTCAGAAAAGAAATCACTGAAGAATGTTCTAGTAACTAAGGACATTTCAGCTGGATGTGAAATGCAGAGTTCTTTTAAAGCAAATCTTTCTTTAGAGACTGCTGTAAAGAGCCCTACTGTGAAAGCAGCTCCTGTATTTGCCATTTCCCAAGAAAGCTCGATTTCTCCGGACAGGGAAGACAGAAGGCACCTTTTAGTTCTGCGTAACTTGATTGTGCTAGAGGGTGAACAAGCTTCACTTGAATCTAAGCATATTAAAGTTAACTTAGACTTCCAGAAATTAGGAATTAATCAGTCACAAATTCTTTTTGATATAAAGGAGCCTCCTTCTCATGGACACTTGAAACTGAGTGTTGAACCATTGCAGGAGGTAAACGCATTTACTCTGCAGGATGTGTGTCAGGGGAAGATTCTATATGTCCATGATGGCTCTGAGGACACTTACGATTATTTTAATTTCTCAATTTCTACCAGCAATAAGAAGATTGTGTCTCCATATTTGCAAGGAAATGAACAGCATATGTTTAGCATTACTGTTACTCCAGTAAATGATGCACCTGAGATCATACTTCCCAAGGGAAGCCTGCTTCTTCTCTTAGAGAACTCAAAGAAGTGTTTGACTAATGACCTGATAAAAGTTCTAGATAAAGATACAGATTCTGTGGGTCTCAGACTTTCAGTCCTTGGAAACCTGAATGCAGATGCAGGATTTTTAGAAAATTCAAGGCATCCTGGAAAAGCTATCACTACTTTTTCTAATGAGGATTTAAGCAAAGGCACTGTTTTCTTTGTCCACACAGGTGTCAAGAACTCAAGGATTGTTCTCAGGGCAAGTGATGGTGAGAAGGTGAGCAACACTGTGGTGTTACGTGTCATGGCAGTTCCTTTGGATTACAGTGTTGTCAACAACTCAGGAATAAATCTACTCCAAGGTGTTACAGCTCTTATAAGACCTAAGCATCTGGCAGTTGAAACAAATTTTGTCCTCCAGGAATTGGAGATATGGTACAAGATCACAGAGCCACCTCATTTTGGCCAGGTCCAAAGGCGGCATTCAAGGGGGATATGGAAGGAAGTAAACTCTTTTTCTCAAGACTCTCTTCAACGCAGCCGGGTGAGATACTGTAGCACTTTTAAAGATATTCAGCTGGAAAACGTTACAGACCAGTTTAAGTTCAAAGTTAGCATAGGAAACAGAATCAGTGAAGAGCACACATTTCCAATCAAAGTGAAATGGTTAAGGTACAGTCTATTGAAGCATGCTCCTCTAGAAATTGAAAAATCAAAAAAGAAGTACTTGAATTCTGATAATCTTTTTGCTGTGATTGCAGATCTAGAAATACCTGAAGATGAGCTTCATTTCAAACTACTGTCCCTACCAAAGAATGGACAGATACTGCTTAATGATCAGCCTTTGAAAAAAGATTCAGTCTTTAGCCAAAAAGATATTACTGACGAAAAAGTGGCATATGAATTAATCAGCCAGTATCATGAAGACTATGATTCGTTTAGATTTCTCATTTCTACAAAGTATCTGGATTCAAATTTCTATGACTTTGAGGTCTACATCAAATCAGATTTCAGAAACATTATTTTGACTAACAATGGCCTTAATGTTACTGAAGGGGAAGGAGAATTAATAACAAGCACGAAATTGTTTGTGCAAACACCAGATAATAAAACCTTCCAATATGAAGTTATACAGTTTCCTAAGCATGGGAAATTAAAACTTACTAATTTTTCTGGTTCATTTGAGAATAATGGCAATCTTACAACTTTCACTAATAAAGATATAACTGATATGCGCCTTATGTATGTGCATGACGATTCTGAGACCGTGTTTGATGAATTTCTTGTCAGAGCTTCCAGCAAAGAGTCAGGAAAGGGGACAAACTTTGACCAAGAAGTAGAGCCTTTGTCAGTGGAAATTAGATTCTATGTTTCTGTCCAGCTGAAGAATGATGAGAAACCGGTTCGTGTAATTGATAAGATATTTGACATAGTGAGGAACGGGCAACGATTATTAACTTTGGCAGATCTTTGCTATCATGATCCTGATTCTGATTTTGATGATGGACAGTTGCTGTATACTAGACGTGGTATTTCCAACGGGGACTTGGTGCTAACAAATGATACTTTGCATAGACTCTACCAATTCAAACAAGTGGACCTGGAGCAGAAGCAAGTCCTGTTTATACACCATGGTGCAGATTTTGGGCGTTTTGTGCTTTTCGTGACAGATGGAAAGCACTATACTTCCTTGCTTCTAGAAGTTAATGCCACTGATCCTTATATAAGGTTGACAAATAATACAGGATTGTTGGTTCAAAAAGGGAAAGAAGAAACTGTTTCAACAGCTAACCTAAGTGCTACTACAAACCAAGACATAAGAAATGATCATGAGCTTACATATGAGATACTGTCTTTCCCAAAATATGGAAGTATATATGTGAATAATGTATTAACAGATTCCTTTACTCAGCTTGATCTGATAAAGGGGCATGTCACCTACAGACATGATGACAGCAACAACCTTATTGACGCATTTAACTTTACAGTCCGTGCTGGAGATGTCCATCTGGATGCTGGATTACAGGTTCACATATATCTGGAAAGTCATCCGCAGCCACCAAGGATTGTGAACAAAAACAATCTCTTGGTTGAAGAAGGAAAACCAGTTAAAATCAGTAAAGGAAAACTTCAAGTAGGTTAACCATGTTGTCCATTCCTCCAATCTTGTAGCAAGTTTTCCTCACTTTTTTTAGCCATTTCAGTGTCTTTAGTTTGTGTCTTCTCTTCTTTAACTCCTTGTGATTACCACTAATACGACTGCATTCTGAATGCTTTATTCAGGAGAGGTTTACACTGCAAGCTTCTATTTTTAGGAAGGAAAACTGATGATGTTAAAGAAAAAGACTGCCCATAGTCTTTGACACTGTTATAGATTGATGCTTAAGAAATTTGTTTTAGGTATAATAATTATTTGTACCTCCATGAACTGTTGTTAATTGAGCTGGTGGGAAATGCCAAGGAAGAAAGGTTTTTTTTTTATTTAATTTGGAGCTAGCCAGTTAAAATTGTTTGAGAGTTACATCCAAAATTTAAAAGAGCAAATCAAGTCACAAATCTGAGGCCGTTTCTGTTTGATTAATTCTTCCCTGCCCAATTTTTGTATAACCTTCCAGTAACCACCACGAGAGGGCTCTGGCTGCACACTGCAGAAATCCTGAATTCTTGTTTTGGGCAGGGAACTGTAGCTATGAGGCCAGTAGTTAATTATGCAGTATCTTCCTTTTCAAAACTTACAGAACATATTTGGGGTTACAAAATGGCTCTCACGCCACCCTTATTTAACACGTGTCTGCTTAAAGTATTGTATTCTTTTGGGGTCTGTGTAACCCACCTAAGTGCCAGTTTAGTTAGGTAGACGATTCCAGAATTAAAAGTGAAAAATTCAGAAGAGAATTGTAGAATTTCTCCCATTTCCTTTTGAATAATCTTGGGATATGTTCTTAAATTTAAGGTTGTTCATGGAAATAGTTCTCCATCTGAGATTGTGTTCACAGTAAGACAGCCTCCAGTACACGGATACATTCGGAAGTTTTCCTCAGAAGAAAGTTATCTCAGTTCTGACCAAAGACCAGCTTTGAGCTTCACACAGCAAGATGTCGACGAGGGCAAAGTTCAATATGTGCAGACAGTTTCTGACCAACTAGATGACCATTTCTTTCTGGATGTGACCAATGGTGTCAGGACAATGAGTGGAATAGAGATCTCTGTAGACATCATCCCCAGAATGATTCCACTGGAAGTACGTAACTTTACAGTAATTGAAGGAGGCTCAAAAGCCCTGGCAGAAGACTATCTAAAAATTTCTAGTAGACATTTTGCAGGACTCAGCTGTGAATTCATTTTAACTGAGCAACCAAAACATGGATATGTTGAAAACTGTCGTGTTCCTGGAATAAAATTAGCCACATTTACCAGAAAACAGGTAAGGCCTTTAGATCTTCTTAGATGTAGTCTTGATTAATTATTTGCTTTGTTGAAAGCTGCAGGATTTTGTGCGAGGTGAGATACATGAGTTTGTGCTTTATTCTGGCCTTGAGTTGAAGATCTTTCTGCTCTTTCTTGTTGGTCATTTGGAGTGGGAAGGCGGTTGCCTTGTTGTGGTGAATCACATCACTTCCTTGATGGCGCTGTTGACACAGGCTAATGTGCTATAACCACAGTAGACTGATGAGCCACTCGCATTCAAGCAGAGTTGGAGATACTCTGGAAATGTGAGACTGTTGGGTGCATTTTGAAAAGACCGGAGGAAATGGTATGCAGATTGAACAACTATAAAAATGGAAAAAAAGCAATTTTTTAGGTAATTTCTTTGCTCACAGACAGCCACTATAGGCACAATGTGCTAATTTTCAGTCATTAGGTACAGGAAACAAAATGGTATCATAGGTCATCATCTACTAGTGCTGCGTTTGGTTTATAGATTCCCGGAAACATAGTTAAATATAATGGGGTTGAATTTCCATTTTTCCTTCAGGAGGAGTGGAGAATGCCAGCAAGATATTCTGACTAGCAGCATGGACAGATGATCAGTAAAATTTGCTGTTGTGAATGGAGCAAAGGTAGAGGTCTGATACTACAGCATAAATAAAGTTTTAGAAGTCATAAATGTTCATGCAATAAATGCAGAGAGGATGACTAGGATATTTTTCAATGTGACATTTATTTTCTTCAAGCCTCTTTAGTTTTTCAGCTTGATATATTTTTCAGGTGGAACAGGAATTAATCTGCTATGTTCATGATGACAGTGAAGAATTGATGGACAGTTTTACTGTGATAGCAAATAACATGGAGTTGTGGAAACTAAGTTTACCCCAAACTGTGTTTGTAACTGTTACTGCAGTAAATGATGAAGCTCCTGTTGTAAAAGTGAACAGAATTCTTCAGGTATGTTTGTCAACCTTTTGAAGTGTTAAATTTAATTCCATTAATTCTGATGCCATTTAATGCACCTTCATTAACAGACTATTAGGTTTCTATCTGGTAGGATAGTCAGCATAGCTTGTCGTAGTCCTTGGATTTAGGGAAATTGATGCTAATGAAAGGAGGCAGTCCATAGAATACTTGTATTTAGGAAGATTTTGGACATGGAGAGCTCTTTCAGCTGTTATAAAGTTTATCTTTTAAAGCATTCTTTTAATCTTAAAGTTGCATGAAGTCTCTCGGACTGTTGTAGAGCTTGTGAGGGTGGATGGCTTGCACCTGGATGGTTGTTGTGTTTTCGTGGTGTTTGCTGTGGTGTCTTGAGTGCTGTTAATGAACATGTAACTTAGAAAAGTACCAAGAATAGTGATGATGAGAATGCCAAGTTTTCACTATTGTATTTGCACAGCCTTCCAGCCCTATGCCTCTTGCCATGAAGTGCACTAAAGGGTCAGACTTGCTGAAATACATTATACTGCTTGCTCCTGTCCAGATGTGCCAGTGGGATGGGACAAGAGAGAATATATTATGTGTTGGGTATTTCTTGGACAAAACAGGAGTGTTTCCCTTTTCAAAAGCTGCAAATAAGATAATGCAATGTGAAAATCTAGTGACATCAAAATATTAGTCCAGTCACTGAAGCTGTACTGTGTAATACTGTAAACTAAGAAAAAACATGTTAAATTTTTTCTAACTGCCTTCTCCCCAGAAAAGCCCGATGAAAATTTTAAAGTTGTTGACTGATACTACCTTTAGTTCTTAATAACCATCGCTGACTTTTTAGTCTACTGATCTTTGAAGTTATCTATCATTACAGAAGTGACTGCTTTCACTTCAATTTCAGTGCATTTTCAGATTAATTAATTAATTAATTAATTAGTTTATTTATAGTATTTAAACCAGGACATATTTCTATAGTATTAGTGTTATGATAGCACTCAATAACCAGCAGCATTTTAGTAAAGACAATGTTTCCAAAAAGCCCCCATGTATAAAGACTTCAAAATCTGACATCTGATGAGTAAAAACAAATTAAGTGACTCCAAAAATCAGGATGAAATGAATGTGGGTCAGCTAATGAACCTGTAGTCACAGTAGATGATCTGGAAGACATCAAGGCACAAGAAGGTATTTAGGAATCGGCTTGAAAGGAGCCAAATAGGGTATTTTGAGACTGAAGTAATTCCCAGTGCTCTATGATGCAGTTTATAAATGGGTGGTACCAAAACATGCATTTCATTTTATGTAATTAGTTGTGTGGAGAGGGAGATTGCATTACTGTAAGGATGATTGTAACCTTGTGTTGTGTATTTAGTCTTTTCACATGAAAAAATACCTAAACTAGCTGTAGTGTTAGTACTGTGCAGCTTCACAGTGACAGCAGATAATCTGCAGACGCCCACAGCAGAAGATACCCTGCCCTGTGCAGAGACTGCTGCAGAAGGGCAGACTGCCTTCACAAACATTTGGGTGGCACATAGCAGAATCTTCCCTGGTTGAAGTTATTACAGTGGTACTCCACAGACATCAGCACAGCATGCTGTAATCTTTGTCTAGTCACAGAGAAGAGAGCACAATGTTCAGTCAAGTTTTTCTGAGTCTCTGTTCTGGTGCATTGCTGGCATTAAACTGTTGGCATTGAACTGCTGGAGTTGCAGTCTATTAACAAAACTAAGGCTGTGCAGTGCACTGCAATGCAGCTTATGGATTTTTCTAAAAATATCTGTGAATCTAGGCTTCCAAAGAGCAGGGATAACAAAGCTTCACCTACCCAGAGTTGGTCGTCTCTACTGGGGAGGCAGCCTGTGTACTAGAACCAGGATGTTGCCTTTGCCTGTGGTTTTGCAAGTCATGCACAAGCTATTGTCAAAAAATCAAATTTGTATTGTGAGTAGCTACCAGTATGTACAGATATGGTGTATTTGTGTGCGGTATAAAACAAATCTGGCAGCCAAGTTATCTGCTGGGAGGAGTACACTGAGATGATTCTTCCTCAAATCAAACTTGCACATCCTCAGTAGATGGAAGAAAATGTCCTGCTAAATACTGAGATGAGATGAGATGAGATGAGATGAGATGAGATGAGATGAGATGAGATGAGATGAGATGAGATGAGATGGGCATTCCTGTGTAGGGTGATGGTGACTGGCCTCATGTTGTAGCCAAACAATCTGTGCTCCTCAAGAACATTGCTAGTGGTAAATGTTGCTTTTAAAAACTCAGTAGCTCTTTTATCTATTTTGTAAGGTTGGAAATGTACAAAGATATAAAATGACTGACCAGTACTGTGGAAACTGAAGTCCAGTAGAACTGTTTGAGTTGACTGAAGTTTAGGACTTCAGAAATTTTGCAGGTCACAATGTAAAGAAAGAGTCAGAAAGAAATGCTGAATGATTACAAAAATTGGCTAGGATATGGCATGCTGCTGCTGCTGAGAAGTAGCTTATATGAAGAGGTGCATTATGTGGCCAGTGATATTGATGTGGGCATATGGAAGTTAATTCTGGCCTTTGTCATGGGCTTCTGTCCAAATGCAAAAAACTATTGGGCACACATGCTGAATGAGTCTAACTCTAGCTTCCTCACTTTGGAAACATCGATAGCATCCCTTCTTCAAACAGCCTTGTCTGTTGCTATCAACGTTAGGAGCACTATGAGGGGAGTTTCAGGGTGACAGACATGTGACCATTTTGGGAGTTCTTCTCTGTTTTTTCTCGTGGAAGTAAATACAGGTTTATGGTGGTTTTTTTTCATTTTTTTGGGGGGGGGGTTTAATTTTTGTTTGTTTTGGGGTTTTTTTGTTTGTTTTTTTTGTGTTTTTTTTTCCCCCGCCTCAGAATTTATGACATAACATCTGAGATACAGAAAGTTTTACTGTCCTGAGAACTTCTGTAATGCATTTAATTTAAATCTTTTTCCATTGCAACAAATTTGTGAGATGTAGTTTTATTTAGAAACTTAAAGTATCGGCATTTTAGATACAATTTCTTAAAATTTCCAAGCTTCTATGGACATTTTTTTCCTGAAATGGGAAAGGGTAAAGGAAATAGGATGTTTTGAAGAAAATCACTATCCTGGCATTATATACTGCAATTATATATGTTTAAATACATGGGTAGCAATGCTATGAAATTATTGTACCCTCCTGTTGCCACAAGAGGGCTATATTTTCCTAGAGTTAAGTTTTTAAAAAACCTCACAAATTTAAACTGATTATTTTGTTGTTTTCTCTAAATTACTCTCTAGAGTGTTAAAATGTGAATACAGAATGTCTGGTAGGATATGTGGCATGCAAGAAGATACTGATGAGCTGAGTCCTGTAAATAGAGCAGAATAAATTATTTCACATCAGCTAGGTCATGAACTTTTTTTTTGGACTGTGCCTGTGGAATATGTTAAGCACATGAAAGACAAGTGTCATGCTACGTCCTGGAAGTTCAGATACAGTTTTGATGGTGCTCTTCAAGGAGATTCTGATCTCAGATATGAAAAATAAGATGGTTGTATAATTCTTGCTGTGTTCTCTGTGTGTTTGCTTCCCTATGGTTCTTTTCAGCTCTTAGATCTCCTTTCATTCCTCAAGGATCATGTTGCAGGCCATGTATAGTACTTAAAAAGCATTAAGTGGTTGTGTTCTGGGATAACAGAATTAAATACTGACATTACGGAAAAAACACTTTTTTCTATAATTAGAAATTTTAATTCTTTTTTCCTTCAGTAAGGAAAATAATTTGTAACTTAGTGAGTAATTTGTAATAGCATGTGTCCATTATAATTTCTTATATTTTTGCATATTCTGCATGTGACCTTTTATTTTCTTCATGGAATAATCTGTGCAGGTGCTACTGAGATGAATTAAAAGATCTCAGTACAAAACATGTGACACTGATGTGCTTATTTGATTCCACTCACTAGATCACCCTCTGCCATTAGTTGTTCTGTGTCATAAGTGTCATTCTTTATCAAAATTTAATATTAATAATCACATTACAGCAATATATATATATTTCAGGGGAGAAAACTATTTGCCGTTGAAAAGTATTTTCTGTTATAAACTTAGTTTTCATTCTTCTGATTAGAAAAAAAAATTGAACTTGATTTTAGTATCTCTTTTTCCATGAGACACGTTTTATGACACAACAGAATGGAATCTTTCCTCTGTTGAAGTGATAGCACAAATTTCAGTCTCTTTTAAGGTTTTCTTTCATAGTTCATATTAAAAAGTAGAATTAATACTTAGTGAATTGTGATTGCTGATTTTTGGCTTTGGCAGAGGTAAAATGCCCTTTGTTTAGGATCATTTGTCCTCTTCAACCATTTGGTGTGATGTTATTAAGTGTACTAAGAACCTAGGAAGACAGGAAGGAGCGATGCAGTGTGTGTTTTGAAGCTCAAGCTGAGGTATTTGAAGGCTTAGGTTCTCAGGATTTTATGCTATGTTATAAATTGTGCGTGGAAATAATTGATATTGATGTAGTGAATATTTTAAGAATTTCACTTCATGTTAAGATAAATATGTGTTATTCTTTGCTATCACATTTGTCTGTACTTCCAAATACATACAGCAGAGATGAAGAACAAAATTGGCCATTGCTTATCCTTCCAAACAAGAAATTTTCCAGTCAGATAGGGATGAAACCCAGAGAGCAGTCCTTTCTGCTTGAAATAAGGGACCTTAAAGATCATCTAGTCCCAACTCCCCCTGCCATGGGCAGAGACACCTTCCAGACCAGGCTACTCAAAGCCTTATACATCCTGGCTTTAAACACTGCCAGGATTGGATTGGGGAATCTACAGCCTCCCTGGACAGCCTGTTCCACTATCTCACCACCTTCACAGTAAATAATTTTGTCCTAATATCTAACTAAATTTTCCCTCTTTCAGTTTCACTCCTTGCCCTGTCACCCCAGTTCCTGTCAGAGAATCCCTCTCCAGATTCCTTGTAGGCCCCTTCAGATGCTGGAAGTTTCTGAGGATCTATGAGGTCTCCACACCACCTTTTCTTCTCCAGGCTGAACAGCCCCCATTTTCTTAGCCTGACTTCATAGAAAAGGTGCTCCAGTCCTTTTATCAATCTTGTGGCTCTCCTCTGGAATTAGACTTAGATCTTAGTTCTCCAGATTTAGATTTACTAGAAGTAAGTAATGTTTTATATATCATCTTTCTATAAACTAGTTAACTATTTATCTGGAATTGTAACATTGCAGAATGTTAGGCAGCTGTTGGAGGCATTGGTTGTTTCGTCTCCCATGGAATGAGTATCTCTGGGTTCTTTAGTGCCCTAGAAAAGGGCCTTTAGTGCATTTTGCTAGAAGAAGATAGTGCAGCTACAAAAAGTGTTCCATCTGTATTAGAGTTTGTGCTGTCCCCGGGCTGTTTTTCTTTTATCTTTTCTGCTGGTGAAAGTAGAGCATATCCGATGCATTACCTGCTGTGAAATACATGACACTAATATTCATGTGTATGTGTTGGAAAGCAGCTCCTTGACTCAGTTATCATAATACAATTTTTGTTATGTTTCTAATAGTTTATATAATGCTTGACAAATAGAGCACTTGTGCTCCAGTTGTCTGAAACTCTTAACTAGTGTAGGGTGTATATGCTTTTATTATTTCAAGGTCTTGTATTTTGCAAACGATTTGCCAGGGTGAACTGTGGTAGTCTGTGATCAGAGGTTTGGATGGACCGTAAGGAAACTTGTTATACCTGCTAGTGCTGCACAGCACAAATCTTTATTCTTCCTTTTTCTTGCAGTCATGTGTTATCCATCCCCCTCCCTCATCTCCTGTTGTCCCAATTTTCTTTTGTATGCATTTTCTTTCTTTCTTTCTTTTAAAAATTGTTTTTTCTTTTCTAGGTCTGGGTGGGTTCAGTCACAGAAATAACTATTGATGACCTCTGTGCAGAAGACAAAGACTCCTCACCATCAGAACTGGTGTATTCCATTACTCCACCTAGCAATGGGCACTTGGCTCTGAAGTCTTCTCCAAACAAGAGCATCCTTACTTTTACCCAGGCTCATATAATTAAAGGGCAACTGGTATTTGTACACAACGGTATGTGATTTCAAAAATACCACATCTGATACCAGAATCCTGCTCCTATTCAGTATATTTGTGTTTGTAATCCATTAAAGATCCCACTGTAATGTCACAAAGATCTCAAAACTCTCATAGTGTGAAGTGTTATACATTGATTATACATTATCTCAAAAACTAAACAGGAAAGGATCTGATGTCTACTTAAATGTGTGCTCACTGGGAAACCTTGGTGTTCTTGGGGTTCATTGGATAGCAGCCTTTTTTCTGAAAGCAGTTTTGCAGTAGGGGAACATTTCCATGCACCTTTTAGAGATAGAAAATCAATTTTTTTGGCTATTGTGATCGAAAATTTCCTGAAGCCTGTCTTTCTACAGTGCAGAGCTCTTCATGGACCAACAGTCTCACAGATATCTGCCATAGTGCAGTGATGGACGATGAGGTTGTGGTTCATCTGTGTGATGTCAGTGTCCCTTTCAGGCTATGAAAGAATTAAGCTTTAAACATTGACTCTTTCTCCAATTGTCCAGAACCAGAGATTGGGTTTTTTATGCATTTGAGAGAATGTGTGAGGAATAAAAGAAGTCAGGGCAGCTTCTTGCATCCTTGAGTGGTGGTGGTGGGAAGCCACAGGAATGAACTTCCCAGTGGGGTTCCAACCAGAAGAGGTAGGGCATTCACAGGATGATACCTACTTGTTTCCTGCTCCAGCTATATTACTATGTTACCTCAGTTGAAAGAAGAAAGGAGTTGCTACAGAAGGAATAAATAATTGGTTTGGGATGGAGACAGAAGAGATACACTGCTCTCCTGCCAGACCTGAGGCAGGCTGGAATTCCAAGTGCTCTTTGGGTGCAACTGTCACTCCAGATTTGTGCTGTGTCTTCAGGAGGTTGAAGTACTCTGCCTTATGATGCACTGTCTTGCAGAGTGCGTATGTGTTGCTGAAATTGTTTTACAAGCAGCAGCTCGTGAGCTGTAAGCATCCTGCTCAAATAATTTGGTCAGGAAATGAAAGGTCAAGAGCATGACAAAAGTAAATTGTTCCAGGGGAGACTTTGACATGTAAAAAGCCCTATGATGGTAGGACAGTGGTAAGTCTCAGTGTGAGGAAATTAATCCACTCTGTGTTTCGAAAAGGGCAAATGCACATGTGTAGTCTTAGAGAGTGAATCTTGATTAATAAAAGTGAAAAGAAGAGAAAATTTCATTTTCCAGTGAGTTGGAGTAGAGTAATTTTGTCACGTAAAATTAGCCAGGTTGTGTGTCAGGTCTTGCAGCTGCTCTGGCTTTGCCATCTACTCAACCTTATGGTCTCCAGTGCTTCACAAAGTACTCTGGTCATTTTGTTTCTTTGCATTTCTTGATCAGCAATTTTCTTCCCTCCTTCATCTTGACCTGTTGCTGGAAATGTATTTGTTACTCCCATCTTAGTGCCCGAGCCTTGACCTGGGGCCTTTCCTTACGTTGTTGCTGTTATTCTGCTTTTTATCCCTTTTCTCTACGTTTCCTCTGTTCCTTGTCATCAGTCTTAGAGTGTGTGCTGGCTTCTTTGTATCCTCTTGGAAGTACGCCCATCTACTCTTCCTACTCACTCAAGCCCTTTCCAAAGGGAAGAGCAGCATCTTCTTGGCTGAGGCAGCTCTTCCATCCTCTGGGTACTCCTCATGGCACTTCATATTTTTTACACCTGTGCATGGCAATGACTGTCCATCCTCAGTGTCTTTTTTACTCCTAATGAAAGTACTACCATACTTCGCTTTTATGTCTCTAAATTAGACCTCAGAATTTTCTCTTCCCATTGCTCAGCCTTATGAGTTACATTATGCTTGTGCTGTCCTGTGAGTTGCAAATCTTCCTCTTTGCTCTCATATTTTCCCCTTGAAAATTTTGTTTCCTCCATAATCCCTGATTGTTCTATCACCGGCATAAATGCAAAACTAGAACACACCTTTCCATTTCTGTAACCCTCTTTCATCATAAGAATTCCTTCTCTTTTCACTCTTGCTTTACTCTAGGGTGTTCCCCTATCACTTTTGCAGTATAGGCCCTGCCCTTAAACCCAGTGTTTTTCTTAGGGCAGTAATGAATTGAACTCTTTTTTGTTCTGAAGTCTTTGTGTCTTCCCTATGCAGCTTTTACAAACCCTCTTTCTGGTGTCATTTTAATCAGCTCTGATCAGATACATCTTAAAAAATTAGTTGTGATAAAATGATAAATGCTCCACCCAAACAGAACTTTGAGAACAGTTCTGTTCCTGACTACTGATGGCAAAATGTCTGTGTCAACTGAGCAGTTGACCTGCCTTAGCCAAAAAAGCAAGTGAGGCTGCATAAGCAGGTTTGTTTGGGTTTTTTTCGACTTAGTACAAATAGTAGACTCCCAGATGCTTTTTTGAATAAGCAACTGGTTCTTTTTGATGAGGAGAATACATCAGAAAATAGAAACTTTTAAAATAAAAACAGTATGACCAGATCTTCCAGAGTAGCTTCAGCTGCCTGGCTAATAGAAGAGCACGTCTTAGGTATATTGGTAAATATAATCTCAGAACGCACATTTGATTCTTCTTATATGTTAATTTATAGTTAGGCAAAGTATGATGATCTTTACATGAAAGTATGTGGTACTCTCTGGCTTTCAGTATCTGTATTCTTGTAACAATATCTTATGGCTAAATTGGGCAAAGCAAATTGGAGAGCATGGTAATTCTTTGTAGCAGTTAATGTTTCACTTTTTTGTTTTGTCTTTTTTACCTAATTGAACAGCATGGGGGACCTCTGCTTAAAAGCAGCATGTCAGTTCTGAGACAAGTATTTTTACAGGACTCCACTCAGACTCCTGGAGGTATTTTGTTATTGCTTGTGCCAAAGTACATACAGGTCCTAAGATTAAAGGGAAAAAATGTGCATTTATTATGAGAACACATAACCTCTGAAATAGTTTAAGCTGTGACAACATACCTTCTTCAGCAAAGCTGAAGTGCAGCGAAGAGGCTAAGGAAACAAGAGTTTATTCAGACCTTCAAATATAAAACAAATATAAAGAATATCCTAGTTACTTTTCTCCCCAAATTCTTTCTTTGCCAAAATGTGACTGCCTAAGTGCTTTGGACCCTCCTGTGACATAAATGGAGTTGGAAATCTGGGAGTCATCTTCTCTCCAAATTTAACTTTATTAGAGTGCCACTGAGTCAGTGAAGAAAGAGAAGGGGGCACTCTTGCTGATTTATGTCTAAGGGGTGTCTGGCCTTCACTGAAAACAACAGTTAGTAATTTTTCCTGAGAAATGGGTTTATTGCATTATCAATTTATTTAATTCTAATTAAGATACAAGGGCTCTGATCAAACGTTACTTTCAGGATGATTTTGGATGTATTGGTAAGGAAACTTTCTTGTCTGCCCATCCAGGAGTCACTTTGGCAGTCACACTGACACCACCCAAGACTTTCGTTGTTGAGATGGAACCCCCTTCACATCTGGTGGCTCCAGTGAGCCCTGCTTGACTCTACATACCCAACACTCACACAGTCAAACAAGGTTTCTTCGCTGACTTGAGCTCGGGTTTCTCTTAGCAGAATCTCATGTGCCCGTATCCTTAAAATAATTTAATTATTGCAACAGCAGAGTAATGGCTCTGGCTGGGAGCCCCTGACAGAGGACCCTGACCAAAAGACTTTGCAGCCTAAGCCACAGAAGTCTGGAGTCCTCGACTCCTGCCGTGTCTCTGAGTGTTGGTCCTCTGGCTGCAGGTCGCCATGCCCTTTGTTTTGCCAAGGTTCAGCAATTCAGGGCCTCTTGCATCAGGCTTCTGTCACCCAGAGCTCAACCTGCAGCTCCACTGCAGCTGCATCCAGAGCTACCTGCACTGAATGTGTTCCTTAATAGTGGAGCTGAGAGTGAAAGGTGTCCAGTGTATGTTTGTGTTCTGTGTGACAGAGTAATGCAAGAATAAATTTATGATTTTGATTTCCACAGGAGCAGTGTCAGGAGGCTTCAACTTTCAGGTGACAGATGGTTTGAACTTTGCACCCCAACAGATTTTTAGCATCACAGCTCAGATGCTCGTCATTAGCCTTGAAGTGAACAAAGGGCTCGGAGTCTTTCCAGGTCTGTTTTTTGAGGTGATCATGATTGAAAATACCCACGTGGAAATATTGCCTAATACAGAGTTATTTGTCAGATACTTAACTGGTTAACTGTAGCTGGGAACATTTATATGTTTGTAAAAAAGCTTTAATGTTTGCTCAAACAGCATACTGCTTTTTTGCTTTGTAGGTTTTAACTTTTTGATATGTGCATGCTTGGAGTCATAGAAACTGGCAGTGAAATGTTCAAGTACAATGTGATAATAACACTGTCTACCTAAGCTCTGGAGATTTCCTATTCAGGTTTGTTTAAAATCTCTGTAGTCCACTGAAATATTTAGAGATGTCTTAGTTGGTTGTGATTTTGCCTTGTAAAAGCAATAGAGGAGTGAAGCTCGTGTCCATGAGATTCTAAATAGCACATATAAGTTTTCCAGATTGCTAGTTCACTATTCTTTTGTTTGGAATGAGTTATAGACAGAAGCACAGACTCACTGAAGAATCAGAAAGACTGAAAACTTTGATTCGTATTTGTACATTTGTAGCTAGTTGGTTCAGCAGCTGAGTTTTTTTTAATGAAATCGAACCATTGAAGGAGTTGATGTGCTAAGAGGTCTCACCAGAGCCATTTACTCCTTTGCACTGGCAACAGTAATCCCTCAGGAATCTAACATTTGTTGCAGGATTAAATGGGAAATAAAGATTAGTTTTCTCTCAGCAATATCTTGCATCATACTTCTGTTTGTGCTGTTTTCTTCTTTTTTATTCTCTGAATCTGATCTGTAGAATCAGAAAGATACTAAGAATTGGCAAAGTTCTGGAGGTTGTAATCTCTACTTCGATTTATTAATTGGATATGGAGGAGGAATACTTTGTCTTCTTGAACTTCCTGAATATAAGTTGCATAAACAAAGGTTTGCAACAAAAGCCACTTAAACATAGGCAACAAAAAATGAGATTGTAGCGGCATGATCTTCTAATTCAGTTAGTATAAATGGGATTCACATAAATCCACTTACAAAGCTTATTAACCTGCAGTTTTGGTGTGTAAGGTTGCCTTGGGCACTGGGATTTACTGGAATTCGATCTTAAGCCAGTGATAATTGTAAGAAAAGTATGCCTAAGGCAAAGTCTCTAGATTCTCAATCAGTTCTTCAGTTTACAAAATACAGTATTTCTTTCATTGGTGCAAACTATTCATCCAAGATTGTGGTTATTTTCCTGAATTCTCACTTACTTTGGGTTAGCCAAATTCCTTTTAAATGTTATAAAGTGTTACTAGCTTTTTTACATCTTCTCTTTATGGTATTTTTAGAGACATTCTGGACCTGTATGGCTTTCAGCTGTACTTTGCCATCATGAAATGACTGTTAAAACAATGATGGTGCCAAATGGTTAATATATATAAAAACAACAACCAGTGTCCTGTTAAATATATAGCACTACAAAAAAAGGTTAATTTTGAGCCAGCTTGAGAAATCTTCTCTCTGGGGTAGTGAAAATTTAATTTATTGTGAAGAATTTACCATGTCTTCATGACTGGGTGTAAACTATTCTCTAAAGCATATTGTTCTGCAATTTTATAAGAGCATGAACTGCTGTCTTCTTTTGTGTTGGGTATACCAGATCTGTTTATATAATTTATAGATTTTTTTTTTCTGTTTTAACAGAAGCTTGTTTTATTCAGCGTACACAGAAAATTGACTGCTAGATACATTAGCTTTTTCTGCTGTAAGCTAGATATGTGCAATAGGAGGATTTGCTTCTTCAGGAAGGCAGTTGCTCAAACAAGAAATGAGTTGAGTTTCTCTGAGGAGAGTAAGCCTGACTTATAGTTAATTGGAAGCAGAGGTTGTCTAATCAGTCTTTAGATGAGATGATTTATAACTGATTAGCAGTGGTAGGGAGGATGCTCATGCCAAAGCATTTTCCAGATCTTAAATGTAGGCAGTAAAAATATGTAACAAAATTATTATACACCAACATTATGTTGTTGCACTCTACTTGAATTGATTAGCTTGGCCCTACTCAATGTCACCTGTTCTTGTGTGTCTTCCTCTGCTCTCTATTCCTGGCACCTGTGTTTGGGTGGGGTTTTTGTGACCTCTCCTTCTGTGATTGGGAGCACACAGGCAGTGTTGTCACTTCATTTTTCTTCACCTAGTCTTCTGGCTGGCAAATAACCTTCCTCTCCCTGTTGAGGTGTCAGACCACGGGAGGTTCTCAACTGTCAGGTGAGAAGGAGAAGGTTATGTTTGGGGGAGGATGCCATTTTACGGAAGAGCGTGACAGACTTTGTTGTCTTTGTCTCTAGACTGTATTTTAGCCTGTTGTGTTCAGTGAGTGAGGTCAGGTCTGTTAGGAATTGAGGGGGTTTTGTGACAGTTATCCTTGCTCCCCATGGCCCTGCTCTGTGATGGCAGTGGTGTGATACCCTGGTATGATCATGGAAAATTAGGGCAGTAACTTCAGTCACTACAGTGTCACCATGTTTTAGAGTTACTCTGTCCTACTCTGTTAAGGTAATAAGGCCTGATTTGCATAACTAGCAGGTTATTGATAAATAACTGCACTTGCAGATTTATATAGTGTGATTAATTGTTGTGCTAAGTTGTACATTCTTGACTACATCTGCTGTATGCACAAGGTCATGGATCCCTCCTTCCTGCCACAGAAAAAAGGGAAAAGAAGGGAGAGGAACAGGAGGGAGACTTCTTGAATTAGATATTGTCTGGGAGTATTTTTCTCAGCCTGAGAGGCTCCTTGACTTTTCAAAGCAGTATGGACACAGAGAGACATGGGAAAGTAAAAATGGGAAAACAGGCAGAGACAGAAGATCTTATAACTCTGTTTCAAAGTAGTTGTTATTTGAACTAGAGCACAAACAGATATGAATAAGCGGACTCCTGTTATTATTAATGGCTTTCAAAGCATCCCTATTCTTCACTGTCCTCGCCATATTATTTTCTTCTGGATATTTTAGCATACATATATATATGTATAATATATGTGTTATTTTGTTTTATTCTTGTATGAAATGGATTGATAATTCAGACTTCTAGTATATGTACTACCATATAGTCTTTGAAATGATATATTAAAACCTATATTAGCTTGTTGCTCAAGGAGAAGAGAAAATCTAAAAAGGAGGCTGAAGTGGGGTATGGGGGGAATAGGATGATAGGAATCTTGCTCCTCTAAAATTATAATTTAACATAAATTTTAGTTTGCTGATTGTGTACCTTGAAACTGCATCAAAAAGAAGACCTTTTTTTTTTTCTTTTAGGAAATTACTAGCTTTTAGGAAATTACAGCCCCAGCTGTGTCAAAAATTTTCTTGGTTTGACTAATGCCAGAAAGCTCTTTATAATCTTTAAGCAAGAAGGTAGTAACCTTAGTAAGGTTAGTGTGGTGCTATATATTAAAAGGATTTTGTTACCACTCCGTTTCCATCTGTCTTAATAAATAATACATTATTTCAGTTCAGGCTGTTATTTCTGTTATATGGTATTCTTCCTAGTTTGTTCAATTCAGTACTTATGTTTTAATTGTATTTAATGAAAATCCTGTTTCATATCGTTAAAGTGTACTTTTGTTAATGACTAAATTTGCTTTATGTGCTCACTAGAAACTTTGCCCTGTTGAGGCTTCTCTTGTTCAAATCATCTCTCTCTTCTGTGGCACCTGGGAATACCAGAAACATTGCAGTTTGAATTTGGTTCTAGACATGTGATGTAGAAACAGTACTTCTTATACATGCTCTATTCTACACTTCATGTAGTTTTTGCAGAAGCCAGTCTTTAGCGATTACATGTGCTGAAGAGAACTGCATTTTTTTCATTTTTAAAACAAGGGCACATCCTACTAATGGGCTTTTTAATTGAAAAAGCTGTGGAAGGGTTGTAACCAGAAGGTAACTAGAAAACGAGTAACCCTGCTGATCTTATAAAATTTTATTGAAATGATAAATAGAATACCTGGGTGAGAGTGTGAGCTGTGCACACAAAACTTTGGCTTTTGGAAAAAAATGCTGTTGTAAATCTTCTTCCTATACTTGACATTTTTTAGGTTCCAGGAAACCTATTTCACAACATGATCTGAAAGCTGTAACCAATGATGTGACCAATGCAGGAAACAGAACTATAACTTTTGTGATTGTAACTTCCCCAAAACTCGGAAGGCTGATCAGAGTAGATTCTGATGATACCACTCAGGAAATCTTCAGTTTTACACAGTCTATGGTAAGCATTTACTTTGTAACAACTAGTTGGAGAGTGGGTTTTTACTTCAGAGGGTATCTCAAATGCTCGTTCTTCATGTGATCCATTTATATCTGTTAAGTAACCCCACATATGTGACCCATCAGTGCAATCACCCAGATTTGCTATGTCATTAAATATCTGGCATCTAGTAATGAACACAAGAGGAGCCTTTGTTCCCCTCTGCTTGGATACTAGCAAGGTCTTGGCAATTCCCACTGTTTTGCTTGTAACACTATTTGTCAAGAAGAGCTGTTCTAGTGCCATTACCCAGCAGTCAGAGGTTGGAAGCTTTTAGTTTTTGGCAGAAGGAACAGCCTTTTTCTCTATGAAAAGTCCAAGTATCAGATTCATTTCAGCTGTACACAGTCCTCGTGGATGTCCCCAAAATGACTTTTATTGACTGAATTGGCTATGGTACTAAGTGTTTGAAGTATCTTAACTGTGATACAGGTTCTCTCACTGAATAACTAAAACGTGGCAGCTTATGTAACTTGATGGAAAAATTATTTTGGAAAAGGAATTACTTGTCTGTGTGCAGAATCTGAATATAACTATCTTCAGCGTGCATTAAGCTATTCTCAGAAAATTGAAGTGAGGGAGATAAAAGGGGGTCTGTCTTCTGACTTTGCTCGTGGGGAAACATATGTTTACAGATTTTAAATTTAGCTGTTTAATTTAGCATATAAAGGAATAAGAAAATCTATTGGCCAGAATTTGAAACTTGGACAGTAAAATCTGGAAAAAGGATTGACATTTTTATTTGCTGTCATCAGACTTTGAAACAACCTGACCAAGGACAGTTGTTCTGATCCCAAAATATGTGATTTTTATGAGTTACAGATAAAACAAATGAGCATATTAGACAGAAAATATTTCAGCTAAAGTTTTGAAGTGTCATTCTTTTTGGATATGTCACTCATATGGCTATGACCATTATGTGTGTTTATCGAATAGTACCATGTCAGAATATGTCACTTATTCTCTGTGGCTTTGGCTTTTACTAATGTATAGCTAACTTTCCATTTAACTTTGTAAATTGTGTAAGGTTTTGGGCTGAAATTATATGTATGCTTTTCTTGTCTATTGGAGATATTTTTACTGGCCATTTTAATTTCAAACAAGGAGAGCTAAATGACATCTTGCAGGTGGAATTGCTATTTATTTTGGTAAAGAATGAGATAAAAGGGAGCGAAAAGGGAAATAACCTTTCAGTCCAGTGTGTTGTAATCACAGGGATTTAAATATGAGTGAAGAAAACTGCATTTATGTTACAAAAATTGTACATTTTCCATGTAATGGAGACTAAATAGTTTAGTTTCTGTTTGGTAGTGATCTTGTAAAACTGATATAAATTGCAAAAAAAATGTGCATACTGTAGGTATGTGGGTTTTCATTGACTTAAGTCTGTGTTGAGGAACTTGAAATTTCACTTTGGTAAAGTAGTTATTTCTTTTGCTGGGGTGCTGAACTCTTCCGTATGCCCTGTGGTTTATTGCTTAGTTGCCAAAGAAAAAAAAAATTAACAAAAAGAAACAGAAATTACTATTGCGTTCCAAGACATTTTTCTTGAACAGATGTTGCTCAGCTAATATAAGAAAATTATTTGCACATTAAACACTCTTGAGTAACACAGGAGTTTTTCAACATAATATTTGATTTTTGTTTTTCTCTGCAGTACTTTCTGTGATATCTTAGAAGTATTTTCATCTTGCAGCAAGCTACAGCTTCTTCATTATATAGAGTCAGTGCAGAGGTAAACACAGAAATCGTCACCAATTCCATTCTAGTCCTAGCCTAGACATTAGAATGGATGTGCAGTCAAAAAACCCCAAAACAACCAACAACAATCAATTAAGATTGATACTAAACCCTGCTAAATTTAAAGGATGTGTATTGTGCCTGTATTTGTTACAAAAATTTGCTGTCCTCTGCTTGAAGTCCTAGAGAGGTTTTGGAAAGTTACCTTGAACTAACATATCCTTTAGCTATTAATTTTTTTTGTTTGTCCTATTATAGCCATTAAGAATGAAATCAGTATAGGGAAAGCAGAAACCTGGAGATGTACATAAAGGATTTTATCACATCAGTCTAAGTTTTTTAGAGAGAAATTGGGATGGTTTTGAGGCTGCTGAGAAAACTGGCCTTGAAAGCCCAGATTGCCTAGTGATCTCAGTGGAGGCTGTTGCAGTAATTTCAGGGTTCAATCTCTCTGTACTCACACCTCAGATTCTATCCTTCTAAAATGCTTCATCTGTGATAACAGCAGGGGGGTTTTGTTTTCTTTCTTCATATCTTTCAAGCATATGTGATAGAAATGTGTACTAATGAGTCTCTTCAAGGTGTTTGTAGGTTGTGAGGAGTGTGTTAAAATAGTAAATTTAAAACCAGCAACATCTCAGACAGAGGTCTCTGGCAATTGCAAGCTAACGTGCAGGTCAGGTCAGTGGTTGCCTGGGAACTTGCCAAGGATTTAATAGGTGTAACTGTCATCTCTCCAGGCTAGCGAGTGAATTACCAAGCAGATCAGATGCTGAATCTACTGGATAAGATTCAGTAAGTACTCTAGTCTTGCTGTCATTAGAAATTCTATTACAGTTACAATGTATTATAGTACTGATCTTAAAATTCAGGTATCGTTCCAGCTGATGAGAAATAATCTAAAAATACTGCCTTTTGCTTTGGATTCTAAAGGGATACATAATTTTATTTTGTATGTGCATTTGTTTCTCTGGATATTTACTGCAGTATCTTGCAATATTTTGAAGCTACTCACAGTAGACTGATTAGATGCCTTGAATATGATGATCTGCAAGGTCAGTGCAAGCAGAGATAGGACAAACCAGATTCCTACTTGTCTATTAGGAATCCCTGTCTTGCTGTGATGTAGAAATTTTCCACTGCATAGTTTTTCTGCTTATACGTGAGTAAATATCAGTGCTCATTACACTTCCTTCTGGTTTTCTTATTCTCTTACCAAGTATCTTTTGCTATTTGCATGATATAACTGCATCAAAGTCCTTTTCCAGCCTTCAGCCTTTCATACGCTTTTTCAGGACAAGTAATTCAGCCCTGCTGGTGTCCTTACAAAGAAAACCCTAGACATTGATACTCTGATTTACTAAAAATACAGTCCATCTGAGCTTTTTCACCATTGCTAGTTTGAGATATTTTCTCAATGTTATATATCTCTTTGCTCTTCATGTAAGGCTTTTACTAGCATTCATGCCCAGTAACATTTCACTTATTTTCAGGTGTTTATCTGGCAGCACTGAGTCCATCATAAGAGAAGGAGAAATGCAGGATAATCTCAGTGTACCTACACGCTGGACTGATGGGCCAGGGCCAGTGGTGTGAGGTTCAACAAGGCCACGTACCAGGTCCTGCCCTTGGGTCACAACAACCCCAGGCAGTGCCACAGGCTGGCACAGAGTGGCTGGAAAGGAGCTGGGGGTGCTGGTGACAGTGACTGAGCATGAGCCAGGGTGTGCCCAGGTGGCCAAGAAGGCCAATGGCATCGTGGGCTGGATCAGCAATAGTGTGGCCAGCAGGAGCAGGGCAGGGATTGTCCCCCTGTGCTGGGCACTGCTGAGGCCACACCTCGAGTGCTGTGTCCAGTTCTGGGCCCTCCCTGCAAGAAAGACCCTGAGGGGCTGGAGTGAGTGCAGAGAAGGGAACGGAGCTGGGGCAGGGTCTGGAGCACCAGTGCTGTGAGGAGCAGCTGAGGGAGCTGGGGGTGTTTATCCCAGAGAAAAGGAGGCTCAGGGTGACATTGTCACTCTCCACAGCTGCCTGGAAGGACAGTGTAGTCAGGTGGGTGTTGGCTCTTTGCCCAAGTAAAGGTAAGTATTGGTATTGGTAAGACAGAACATGGCCTCAGTCTATGCCAAGGGAGGTTTAAATGGAATAGTAGGACACCTTTCTTCATATGAGACATTGTATCAGATTGTCCAGAAAAGTGGTTGAATGGCCAGCATGGATATTTGAAAAGACGTGTAAATGTGGCACTTGGGACATGGTTTAAGGGTGGACTTGGCAGCTGTGGGTTAACAGTTGGGTTTGATCCTACAGGTCTTTTGTAACCTGAGCAATTCTGTGATTCTTTATACTCTGCATGGACTAAGGTACAAAGATCTCTTTGAACAATATTCTCAATATATTTTTTCTGTCCTTAACACTCCTCTGTTTCTAATCACCTTGCCCTTACACGTGTATCTTCTCTTTACTTGGACCAGGTTGATGAAGGTGTGATCATGTATGAACACTTACATGCTGAGTCAGCTGACTGGAGTGCAGAAGATTTCTTTACATTTACTGTCTCCTCTCCACCATCAGTTCTGGATATCCAGATGTTCCATGTTCTCATTTCATATGCAATTGACAGGCATGATCAGAATAGTCGTCTTCTAGCAAATACAGGTAAAAATGCTTCAGTGTTTGAGCTTAAAATTGTTTTGGATCTGTCAGAGGTCCATTGAAGAATGGAGAAAAAACCAAAAATTTCTTTCCCTTCAGTAAGCAGTGACCAGAGTACTTCTGAGACAGAGAGTACTGTAGGATAGTAGCTTGGAAAGCTGTGTTCACTGCACCCTTAGAAACGAGATAGCTACATATGTTTGATGCTTCCTACGTTGTAGAAGATATTTTGTTTTCTATAATGCTAGGTGAAAAACACTATCAGAAGCTTTGAGATACTGGTATTTCTTTAATCTCAGTATATGCATCAGTCAGAAAGTTTGTCTCATAACTGATTGTATTTTAAAAGTAGTGGTAATACATTTTTAGCCATGACGTGGAAATAAAGGATACCACAAAAGCGAAAATTTTTTGATCATCATCAGTGTTTGATATATTCTAAAACAGTGCAACTCTAAAATGTTCAGTTTCTAAGATTCTCTTTTCGTTTCTGCCAGGTGCCATAGTCCAGGAAGGAGGTAGAGTATTAATCAACAAAACAAATTTAGATGCTTCAAACCTATTGATTAAGCTACCTGATGTACAGCGCTCCATGTATGAAGTCTGGTTTCAGGTTCTGTCTTTACCCCAACATGGCATGATTGTTGTTGGAGAACGAAATGTAACCAAAGAAATGCCTAACTTCTCCCAATATGTACTGGACAGATTTGGAATTATGTACATACATGATAATTCTGAATCTCTAAATGACAATTTCACTTTTGCTGTTTGGTTAAACCTGAAGAGCAAGCCTGCTACAAAGCCCCATAGTGAAGTTTTAGAGGAGATCTTTAATATCACTGTTTTCCCAGTGAATGACCAGTCTCCAGAACTGAAGACTAAAAGACTGCACTTGAAAGTCCTGCAGGGAGATGTGTCAATGCTGGGGGCAGAGAATCTGAAAGTTGAAGACTTAGATAATGACCCAGCTGAGCTAAAATACACCATTATTAGCAACCCCAATAATGGTTACTTAGCAATGAAAAGCAATCTCAGTGTCTCTATAAAAGATTTCACACAAGCTGATGTTGACGGTGGTAAAGTCTGGTTTGTACAGGATGGAAGTTCGTCTTCTGGGGTGTTTTATTTCAGTGTGACTGATGGTAAACATCGCCCTTTATACAAACTATTCAGTCTTGAAGTCGTACCAATTGCTCTTGTCCTAGTCAACCTTACCAATGTTGTGCTGCCGCAGGGCCAGACATCTGTCACTATTACTGATGTTCAGCTTTCAGCTGTGACAAATGGAAAAAGCACTAATATTATGTATGAAATAACTCAGCCACTCAAATATGGGCACCTCATGATTGGAAATGAGCAGGTTACTAAATTTGAGCAGGCAGATTTATACTCGCGAAGGCTCTCTTACCACCTGTCAAATCTCACTGCTTCCAGTGAAGTACTGGAGTTTATGCTTTTTACTGCAGAAAGCAATCTAACAGGACAAGTGCTGAACATCACAGCCAAGCCTTTAGTACAAATTGTATCTGACCTGCAGATTTCAAATCAAGCAGCTTATAAACTTGGAAGCAGTGATCTGGATGCTTCTGAGCTAGCTAATTTGACAAACAGTAATCCTAGATTTGAAGTGATAGTGCCCCCTTCTCATGGAAGGATAGTAAAGAAAAGGTTTGTGAATGATGCAGTGTTTGAAGATATTCAGACGTTCACGCAGGCTGACATTGATAGTGGTGTTTTGCTGCTAGACGTAGACACAAATATGACGGGCATCGATCTGTTGAATGACTCATTTACATTTATACTCAGGGCAGATGCTGTGCAGCCTGCTGTTGGCTGTTTTCAGTATGCCATTGTGCCACACAGTCCTCCTCTTGTGCAGGGCTTTACAACAGAAGTGCCTTTTGTAACCAGCATGACCACTTTCAAGGCTCACTCTACCTCAAAGGATGAGGCACCAGCCTCCTCACAGAATGAAGAGCCTGCAGAAGAACTACAGAATACTGAACCAACTATGTGGCCAGGGCAGAATCACTGGGGAAACCTACATGAAGAAGGTCTATTGCTAAATCAGGCAGTGGGAACAAGTGTATCTGTGGAGTTGAAGACTACAAACCAGGTTAATGGCAGGAGTTCCAGAGAGCAAGAAGGTGAAAGCAGCCCTTGGTACATCATTATCCCCCTGGTCCTGGTGTCTGTGCTGCTCATTGCTGCTGTTACTTCTGTGTGCATTTTGTTTATGTGTCAGAAGAAAGAGAAGACAAAACCTTTAGTCAAAAGTCAAACAGACACAATCCTCAGTAGTGCAGATCGATGTCTGGAACGGAGCTTGACTGTGCCCACTGTCACAGTGACTCCTCTCCTGAAGGGGACTGAGAGAAGTACAGCCTCAACATTTGTGGCAGTAAAACATGAGCAGCTGCTTCCCACAGTGGTTTCTCCAGCTACAGAAAGGTGTCTGAAAAACAGCTTTTTAAATCTTGATCCTGAAATGATCCAATATTGTCGAAAAACAAACCCAACTTTGAAGCACAATCAGTACTGGGTATAGTTATAACAGTTTTGGTCATGCTAATTGATGTAGTATAGAAAAGTGAATATATGTTGTTGACATATAATTTGCTCTTTATTACACTCATTTATTATAGGTCAAATGATGATGAAATGATGAAATGTGTGTTAGATGAAATATAAATACCTCTGAAATAATAAGAATCCTACTGATTACAGTGGCCATAATAGAAGATTTGGTATGGCAGTTGATATGTCAGCAAAATTTCACTTAATTCAGTGTGGAATTTGGCCTCATGTATTTTGAGTGCACCCCATATGTGCAGTACTTTTTATTTCCCGTGACAGGTAAAATAAATATTCTGTCATGGATTCTATATTTTTAATAGAATTGTTGGTTTTGTTTTTTTAAAACTAATTTTGCTATAAAGGTCTTTTATTCCTTCTGAATCACTGCTTCTCTTTCAAGAACTTCTAATTGTTTAAATAAGTAATTTTTCCACTGTGCTAATTTCGATAATGTAATTTTGACCTGAAGGCTGTTCAGAGGCCAATACTAAAGAATATTTTGACAGGTCACTGAACTGGATATCCAGAATTCAACAGCAACAACAGTACAGCAGTGAAGAAGGATTCTGGTGGAATACTGTGAAATGTTGTTTGCTCTTTGAGTTTCTTTTTTCCTTATTTAATACTGAACTCTAGCCTGTAGTATCTAAAAATTGGTAAAATATATCCTTTACTCATATGGCAAAAACTTGAGTATCTGTCAGTCAGCCTGTCTGCTTATTTACCTTTAGGCTTAAATTATGTCTGGATGGGCATAAAATTTCCTGCTCTTGAGAAAGGGGTAAATTCTGCTTTCAGTGAAGCAAACACAACTTTCTCTGGAGTCTATATACTCAAGCAGATGGCAGTAGAATCAAGTCCTGAGCTGCATACTGTCATCAGTCCTGAAGGTGCTGACAGAAGCAATCCTGCCATTTAGTATGTATCCTCTTCTGAAGTTTCTCAGTTTACCCTTCGTCTTTCAGAACACTGAACAAATATGCCTTATATACTAGAACAAATATGCCTTGTATACTACTACCAAGTACTACGTACTTCTGCTTTGCTCTGGTGCTAAAATGTGCAATAATTTCTGTGCAAAGGGAATATTGCACTATTTTTGGAAATCCAAGCTCAGTAGTGATGTGCAGTCTCCAGTTAAGGTCCAATTTTATTTTCACTGACAACAAATAATAAAATTCCTGTTAACTACAGGGAATGAACTGACTTCAAGGAAATGGTGCTGTGATTGTACCCAATCTCTTATTAACAGTGAACTTCTCATCTGTTTTTCACCTTTGAATTGCTACAGCTTCCATCTAGCCTCTTTGTAAAAACACTGTTCTCAACAGTCTCAGCACTGCACCCACTCAGTAAATACTGGAATACCATTTTTATTTAGGCCTAATTTTATCTAGGTACTGCCATTTTCGCTTTTATAGAATGGTTTTACTGACCTCAAGATCCTTGGTGCTATTCATTTCACACTAGTTTGTTTTGGATTTTTTTTTTAAATAGTTGATGATTAAGTGTGTTTCTGTCATTTATAGATTGCAGTTTTGGGAAATTTTCACCCACAAGGAGGGCCAGATGTAAACTGTGCCTACTGCTGTGTTCTGGGAGCTGAACCCAAGAGCAGTGGGGGTAGTCCTCATGTTTACCACCTCTGACATGATTGTGGTGCATTTTTTAGAGTCCACTTCAAGAAGAGTAGTCCATGTCAGTGGAAATTATACAAGCCATATCTTCAGCTGGTCAAGTTATCAGAGTACTAGAGACTAAAGACATGAACCCTTCATACACTCAAACTAAAATGTATTAGAACCTTGTCACACAGTTTTTATGTTTGTCGGTACTGTAACTTCCCTGATGCCAGTGTGTGAGTTTAAGTATGTGCACAGCATGAATGGCTCTGGGTGTTCAGGTGGATCACTGTAGGTCTGTGTGGTGACCTTTTCTGCTTTCCCAAAGGAGGTCTGGGGCTGTTGTGAGTGACTCTGAGCCAAAGAGCTGGCGTTGTCAGCCACCACAGGGACACCCCTGCACCCTTTGTGGAGGTACAGTTGTATGTCTCTTGCCATTTCCTGGGACCCCTTCTACCAACAAACACCAAGCAAACACCAGCTTCCTCCAGATCCCAGCTGGCAGATGCAGCCTGCCTCCAGTGCCTTCTAGACAGAAGCAGCAGCCTGATCCCTTTACACCTTCTCCAGGCCACATTCCAAGGAGGAATAAATAATTTTAATTTGAGCACTTTCCTGACACATGTAGAAGCCTGCATCGCATTTTTCTAGCTCCTGTTAACAGCAAAAGACATGCTCATGCTCCAAATCCTACCGAGCAGTGTGCCTACAGTTTGGTACCAAAATAGTGCACTGCTGAAAACAACTGGAGTCTGGTGACAAAATCCACATTGTCAGCTTGTGTGGATGAGGGTGAACAAATACAGAAATGAAATATGTTCTTTCTGGGCTTTTCCTCAGTGTTTTAGTGTAAAGACAGGTATGCCTAAATTTGTGGTGTTCAGTGTGTGGTGGAAATGGAACATAGGGCTGATGTAGTGCTGGTGATGTAAAAAATGAGACCATGACATAATAGTCAAAAAAACTGCAGTGCAGTCATAACTCTACAATCGAATGGGCATTCGTGAGTTCAAGCATTTGCATGCTAGGAGAAAAAAGTACTACATAAGAACATCAGAATAGGTGGTAGAATTTGTGCTGGCTCTTTTGGCTTTAGCATAAGGGGCTGAAATCTTCCTCTGTTTCCAAAATGGTTTTGGCTGACAACCGATGTTCATTTCAATTAGATTAGCCATTATGGGATTGTATTACATTTTGCTCAATTTTTAAAGCATTGAGGGTTTGGGTTCTGTTTCAGTTTTCTTTTTGTTTTTATAATTAAAATCAGCCTTTAAACCTAATTAATCAGGGAAGTGTTCCAGCATTCAGTTTTCTTCCTCAGTTTTTGCTGCTGTGAGACAACTGTGCCAAAGTGCCTGCCATATTATGGAATGTTTTGATGAAAACTTTATATTACTGTAAGTTTATTGTTAATCAGTGATTACTTGGTATAATGCAAAATGCAGAGGCAGTATTGTAACTGATAACTACATATGAACTTAGCATTAAAATCTCACCCTGAGTACCTAGTGAAAAACCCTCAGAATTAAGAACTCTGATTATGTTAACCTTCCCCTGTGGACAGTGCAGAATGGTCTTTGGCAGAGGACGGTTTATCTTGTTCATACATAGATACCTAATATAGGTAAGTCTGCTCTGGCTTAGCTAGTCCAGGTTTGAGATTATAAAAACTAGCTAGGATGAGTTTCATGCTGGGTTTTCTAAATTGCAATCAATCTAGAAAATGCCAAAAATCACACCTTACTTTGTCCTTATGGATTCTTTTGAGATTCTAGGAACACACATATTTTATGGTCAGAATCTTTCTTGAATATTTCGGTTGTTTCCCGTGGCCTTGAAGTTGTGTGTTTTATTTAATGAAGACTGGGTTTCTGAAGGATTCTCATTTTTATCAAATGGAGTTCTAAAATGCAACATGAAAGTGCCTTGAAAACATATATTAAATCAATAAACTTCTTGTTTATAATCCATGCACTTAAGGTTTTTGTGCTTTCTTTAAGGACATATGAAGTGCAGAGACACAAGAGAATCCCATTGTCAGTAACAGCATTCTTTTGAGTTTACTAATGTTGTATTTTTTAAATTGCTTATGTGCTGGCGGGGCTGCTGTGCTGTGCCCGGTGCAGCTCAGTGTGTGTGTCTGGAAAAGGAGAGACACCTCACTGTGCACCTAATCTGGCCATGGACTTGCAGGAATGTAACATCAAAATAAATGCATTAATTTGAACTTGCTCAAACAGGACTCCACTGGGTTTATTTTAGAAAGATTTTCTGTTATTTAACTGCACCTGATTTTTAAATATCAAGTTCTTAAATACATTAATGTTAATACATTAGTGCTGTTTCTTCTTTGATTTTCATCTTGATCAAAAGTACCCCCTTACTCCAGCCTCACACCAAATGCAAAGTTCAACCTGTTTTTTTTTTTTCGTCAGTCAGAGCTTAGCTGTAGTTGTTGTTGACTGTAGTTGTTCCTGTAAACTGAGGTAAGGAACTTCCTCTTGAGACATCAGAAATGCTGGTGGCCCTGGGGCGCAGCTTCCTGAATCGGTGCCCTGTGCACAGAAATCTTTCAGCAGTAGTGAGTTGTGTCCCACTCCTACACCTCAGAAAATACTGGTTTGTAAAGAAGAGAAAATAGGCCAGAAATGGTGATAAACCCTTCATATTTTCCTTTTATTAAAATATGGGTGAGGACCAGCTACAATTTTTGCTGCAGTAGCCTTTGCTACCTACTACAATTCAAAATACAGCAGAGAGTCTACTTACGTGGCCTCCAATCTACTTTGCACTTTTTTCAAGTCAGTCCTTGTGATGCTATGTCGAAGTACATTCTGTGAATATTTTTAAACAGGCTGAAAATAATTGTCCTGGCATATTCAATGGAAACTGTATTAATTTATCTTCACTCATTTCAAGCTAAATAATTCCTGCCAGAGCTTGCATATCCCGAATGCAGTCCCAGAACAAAATGTTCTTACATTGCAATTGGTGAAATCTATATTTTCACATCTGTTTGTAGGGAGATTCTACATGGTGAAGTGCTTGCTTTACGTGATCATTTCCTCATTTTCAGTCTTGCTGCTTGGTTACTTCTGTGGGAATGCTTTATACATGCTGGTAGGCACTGCTAGACATGAAGTTACTTGCAGCCTGAGGTTTTAGCTGCAAAACATTTGCATGGCTTCGCAGTGAGAGGGGCATTAGTTTACATAAATTTGTTGGGGAAAAACAAAGGAGGAGCAGATTGAGCATTGGGATGGGAGTATCAGAACTCCTAGCAAGAACATAGGCAATAGAATAAGTTTATGCAATGTAAAATGTATGACTGATCACAGTGATCTGCTCC